CCTCCTGAACTCGCGATAACAACTTCATCTCCTTGCCTAAGCTGATCAGTTTTACTCTTCTCAACCTTAATTATCATGTGGTCTTCAAGAAACTTAATATGATTTCTTCTTATTCTTGTGACTTCCTCCGACCTAAAAAATCCTGCTTAACAAAGCACATAAAGACATACATTTCTAAGTTGAAGGGTATTAGACAAATCAGAACCATCGATTACATCCTTGAGAATTTCAATGGAAAGAGGTTCTTTTCTATTCCCCGTTTTAGTGACTAAAATTTTCTTGGCGACCTCCCGCACCCTGTTAACTAAAGGGTTCTCCGTTGGGGATACAAGACCCGCTGACTCGCAGGCCCACTTGATACTATAAAAAGCAGTATCAACAGAGGCACTCGATCTGGTGGATTCTAAAACATGCTGTAAATAAACGGCAACGTGCATTGGATTAGCAGGGAAATACGACAGCTCCTGCTTGCGCAAGGCGAACTCCTTCCACTTCCTAAAGGCTCTAACATACATGTTTACCGTCCCAGGAGCCCTCGCTAACAAAATGGTCGTCTGGAGCCTGGAGCTAAGGGATGGTAAATCTGGATCCTTAAACGAAGTATCTTTCAAAAGCCCTCTTGGAAAATCTCTATACAGAAAAAAGAAAACAAAACAAAGGAGAAATCAGAAGCAACAAGATAACTTTATTGTGAGTACTAAAGTAACTAAAAAATCTGAAAATAATGCTGCCTCCCATTTAATACAATTCCGAGGAACTCCAGCAAATAATAACAAACAAATAATGGCAAACGTGAATTCAGACCGTGGAGTAGCAAAAGACTCCAACTAACTGTGTACAAAAGACGCTAGTTGTTGCGACATATAAAACAACAGCCACTGTCATGAGTGCAAAATCCTTCTTGATTTCTCCTCTCAGGCAACTTGAAACTAATACGCAGTGCGACAACTGCAAAAGACAACTCTCTTGCGGCAAACACGTCATTCTTAGCTTTACCTCTCACAAAGAGTTGCTTAAATTTGGGCAGCACAACCCAATCATGAACAAACGAGTTCCAGTGTTCTTCCATCATTACACAATAATACCCAAAATTACGAAGACTTCCGCATAGGAATGACAAGTGTACCCTCTGCATTACACAACTTCAAATGATCAACAACTCTCGCAATTTGCGAAAATGGATGGAGTAAACAATTGTTTTCAAACTCCCAGTCTTGTAAAAAAGCATCCACCGCCTCAGTACCTGGCTGGTAAAATCTGGAATTGAAGCGGGAAAGCTTATCATTATAACTACATGCGGATCTGTCAATGGTATGCGGTCCCCATCGAGCATCCAAAATTTGGAAAACAACATCATTAATTTTATAATCATCAAAATCCATAATCCTACATAAATGG